TTCTCCATCTTGACCTCTGGGGCTGGTCTCTTGGTTTGTATCTTTTGGTTTGTACCATCTTAATTGTGGTCACGCCTCCCCAGGTGCAGGGTGAACCTCCTTGACTCCCAAGGGAAAATATGTTGTTATGACTAAACACCCCACACTGTCTCCACCACCACGCTCCTCTCGTTCCCACAGCTTGTCCATCCATCGCTGTGGCAGCCCTGAAGATACCCAGTTAAAGATGGCTCCAGGGTTGACACTTGGTCATTAGCTTTTTTTATTCAGCCTCTTCCTCATGAGGCCGCTGGTGGAAAAGCTTCCATGAATCCATCTTGTCTTCCCTTCTTCTCATCCCCTGGTCAGCACTTCAGCTTTTCTCTTTGTTTATTCCTTTTTGATTCTTCTCTTCTTCATCTGAAACTTTACTCCATCTGAGGGAAATTCTCCAGAAGATGTTCAAGTACTGTTCTGCCCCAGCTACGGACCCCAAAGAATGCAGCACACACAAAGTCCATACAAACCTTAGTTTACTAATGAAGGACTACTAATGAGCTTTCTTAGTAGTTGTTCAAACACAAGTACAGTTTAAATCAGTCTTTTTTGAACAAGGGCTGTTAATTTAACTTAATTAACAGCCAACAAGAATCCAAAGAATAATAACTCAGTTCTGAGGCACAATATTTCAGATAACCGTAATCTTACTGTGGTTGGCAGAATGCCCAGAAGCAATTTGCAGAAAAACTGACGAGAGAAACAAGAGCCAAATCAAACATTTCTGGAATCAAGACGCGAAGGAATATGAATGAAGTTGTTTCCTGCAAATTGCATCAGTCATCATCCTTCCTTAAATAGGCTAAGGGAGTGGCCAATTAGCCCCAAGCTTTACTCTCAAGGAGACCTCCTCCTGAGGAGCCTTTTGGCAGCTCTGCGCGCCCGTGCATCGAGAAGAGGCTCCTCTTCATCCTCTTCTCTTAAAGGAGCTTCTGGAGGTTCTGAAGGCCCTGGCTGAATCCCCGCCTCTGGCGCCACATCTTCTCCAGCCTCTTCATTGTCTGACTCGAGTGCCAGCTGCACAGGCTGCTGGTATAGCATCACACCAGCCTCCTCGCTGTCTGAATCAGCTACTAGCTGCACAGGCCGCTGACGGGCCACAACAAGTATCTCTTTCAGTGATTCCCTGCCAAGTGATTATAAATGAAACAGCCGTCCCATCTAGCATTGTTGCTCACTTACAAGGCTACAACTGACCTCCATGCTGCCGTCCTTGCCTCTTAGCCCTCACTCTGAATGTCAAGTTGTGCGACCCATCGCAATATATTTGATGATCAGCAATAAACATCCACTTCCATGTTGAATGCCTCTTGGCCCTCACTCTGAACATCATGTCATATGATCCATCACAATATACCTGTTTATCAGCAGTAAACACTCTCTATTTTACTTTTCATGGATGTCCGTTCACCCCAATAAGCACCTTTGTCCTCCAGAACTCCTCTCTTGGCTTGTATCTGGTCCCCCAAATATTTTGTTTCCTGCTGAAACCCAAACTGAGTCTTAGACAAAAACATAATATGGAACAAGAATCTCTAAATAATGCAGGGATTGGGAATTTTTATTTTTATTTTGTTGGCCATTTAACAGCTGATCTTCAACTGATGTAAATCATCATCCTCTTTTAACGACCCCATAATCCCTTGCTGGGTGAAGTCTGGGCAACTGAGTGCAGCTGAGTGTTTATTGGCCGGATGCCCTTCCTGTTGCCAATGCAAAGGGATTTTTTTAGCAAATATATCCTCATTGTGCCAGAGCAGGGGTGGGTTCTACATTTTTTTACTACCGGTTCTGTGGGCGTGGCTTATTTTGTGGGTGTGGCTTGGAGGTCATGTGACTAGGTGGGTGTGGCTAGCTGGTCAGAGTCATTTCTGGAAGGTCCTTGCACTTACGACCAGTCCTCGCACTTACAACCAGTCCTCGCACTTACGACCCGACTCATTTGTTTGCTTTTAACACTGATCAGCTGTAGGATGGCCCTTTGAAGCCCCACAGCATGAGTTTAAACAGTTTTTTTCCCCCTAGTCATCAGCTGGGACTCAGGAGGCAGCAATAGATTGGGGGTGGGACCAAATAAAAGGTAAGAATAACGTGGGAGGGCGGGGGGGAGAACTGGTTCGGTGATGTCATATCGTCACCGCTACCGGCTCGGCCGAACCAGACCAAACCAGGAGGAACCCACCACTGGTCCAGAGAGAGAAATATCTGCCTCTACCTAGGATTGAACTCACAGTCTCCTGATTGTGAGGCAAGAGTTCCACCTCTAGGCCACTGCACCACTCTTTCAACTGATGTAAATGATCTCAATATATTAGTTAGCTGCTCAGAGTCACCTTGTGTAAGGAAAATGGGCAGCCTAAAATTTAATAAATAAGGAATCTGGAAGAGTCACCCACTCTTTTATTTTTAATGAAAGCCACTTGTTCCCAGTGAGGCTGTGTCCCCAACTTTGTAATATAGATTGATCTTGAAGACGTGAATGTTAATTTCCAGCAGAAATTTTGTCCCTTTATTTTTTTTTAAATGAAGAATCTTTGAAAAAAAGCATCAGGTCGGGTTACAGATACAGTGGCAAAGAAAATTCATGCAGAAATAATAAATAAATACTAATTGTCAAGTTTCGAGGTCGTCTCAAATAAATTGCATTTCAAACAAAGTCTTTGAAGGAAAACTCCTATTTATTAAGCACAACATTTTAAACCCGACTCCATCGAAGCCAACACTGACTTCCAGACCCAAAACCCTCCCTTTCCGTTCCCCACTCCCCTGCACTCATTGGCCATTTTCCAAGTCATTCTACCCCTAATCTACTGCTCCAGCTCAAAGGAATTTCCCCCTTCCCATCCCATCTCCTAGGGTATATTATCTCCAGGGAAAATAAGTAGGTGAAAAGTCAAACGTCCCTTTCCAGATGCCTCTGCTCCTCCTTCTTATGTCAGCACTAGAGTAAATGCAGCTTGAAGTGCTGACACTAATATTGACAGCATACTTGTACATATGGTCTCTTGGGGCATTGCAGAACTCTCTATTTTTTTTTTCATTCAAGTATTTCTCATTGTATATTTTTAATGCAAAACATTAAATTGTATCAAGCATTCTCTTCATTATGAGTAGATAATGAACTTATAGAGCCTTGGTAGCGCAGCAGACTAAAGCACTGTTAAGTAACACCAGCTGCCTGCAATTACTGCAAGTTCAAATCTCACCAGGCTCAAGGTTGACTCAGCCTTCCATCCTTTTGAGGTAGGTAAAATGAGGACCCGGATTGTGGGGGCAATAAGATGACTTTGTATAAAAAAGAACACCGCTTGGGGGGGCGGGGCAAAAGCCCTACTAAGCAGGTATATACAAAAGTATGAAGGCTATTGCTTAACGCTGCCCTGAGTCTCTGGAGAAGGGAGGCATATAAATCGAACCAATAAATAAATAAATAAATAAACTTCATTAATAAACAAGACTAAGTGAAGTGGATATTAAAGGATTTTCTCCTGTCTTTTTTTCTGCTTTCAGATTATTATGGGGATGGATTGATGGATGTGTATTAATGGAATAGTTAAACATTTGTTCGATCTTGGGCCGAGAGGAAGGAAGACAATGTTGTGTGGTAGTCTTAGATGTTTCCTGAACTTACAAGAATGCTTAAGGATAGAGAAAGGGGGAGAGAAGGATGACCCCAAAGCACCCCACATATTATATCTCCCTGGGCTGACCTCTCATCTTCCACCACCACAGATTGAAACTGTCTGTCAGGCATGCCTCCTTTCAACATTCAAGAAAGAAAAACACCAACTCCATTTTCATAGAGAAAGGTACTTTTACTGAGTGAGAACTGAATGCAACCAAAGAAAAGCAAAGTCTGAAGCAAAGGCGTGAAAATCACATATAGAAAGCATCCCCCCCAACTGTCCAGCGTAAATCATCCAATCCAGAACTTCTCCAGGGGTCATATGTGTGCAAACGTCTGGCAGTGTCATCCTCTTGCTATACCACGACCGTTGACCTTGAGACGTTATCAGCTTCAAAGAAAATGCTGCTGCAAAGTTTTTCTTTCCTTCTCTTCCAGCTCATTCCCCCCTCCCAAGAATTCCAATAGCTCCCCCGTCCCCCCGTTTCATGACAGCTGAGCAAGTAAGCAATGAAAGGCTGACATTTTCCTTGAGTTGAACCAGTGCACAGCCAGGTCTCCAATTTTGAACCTTTCTAGGTGGTCCAGCTGGATAACCTTCCTTTTTTTTTCTTTTAGACCAAATCTTTTATTTTTAAACAAACATACATAAAAACATAAAACCATCTTCAATTACACACAGGGTGTCGGTTGGTTAAAAGTCTTTTGTGCATCTTCACCATATTCATAGCTTACAGTTTACCTAAATTCTTGTATTATTGATCTAATATATATCTATGTATTATTGTCCTCATTGATCATTTATTTGACTAAAGCTATTCTTCCCTCATTTTGTTCAAAATATTCTAAGATTTTAGTTAATTTGTATTATAACATTCATTTCATCACTAAATCGATCCAATAATAATACATCTTTATGTTATATTTTATATATTACTACAATTCTTGTATTATAAAAATCTCTATCTTCTTTCATTTCCATATTTTTTTATCTAACCATTGATAAAATAAGTCCCATATCTTATAATATTGTTTATCTTCTTGTTCTCTAATTTCAAATGTCAATTTGCTTATTTCAGCACATTCCATTATTTTCTTAATAATTTCATCTTGCATTGGTATTTTCTCATTTTTCCAATTTTTAGCAAACACAATTCTAGCCGCTGTTAATACATTCACAATCAGATATCTCAATTATCTATTGTATATTTCAATCCCCAATAAAAAAAAGGGGGGATTGAGGGGCGGAGCTGGCATCACGACAGTACAGCGGGCGATCTTGAAGCTCCAATATAGCCGTCAATATCTTCGCCACTGGACGATCTGTTTTGGACCTCACCGTCCCGTAGAGATGGTGATAGTGGTGGATACCCTTCTTGATGGCATCAAGACCAAATGGATGATGTGGAGGATGAGGATGTACAATGGGCCATCTATCATCTCTCTGGGACACTGCAAAATGCAGGATTTGGCTGGTAGGGTGACAGTTGAGTATTATGCTTGTCACTCAAGGAAAGGTAACCCTGATTCAATCCTAGTTCAAACCATAAAGGATGTGGACTGAAAAAAAATGGTGTAGAGCAGAATGAAGCACCTGAAAGAAGCTCTGGATCCCATCCTCAGGAAATCCTCCATCAGGCAGAGTGATTGGTTTTGAAATACTAGTTTAAAATATTAATGACCCACTCGAGTAACAGGGAGATTGGGTAGAATGCATCTAAGTCATAAAGAAAAGAAGAAAGCTTGTGATTATTAAAAACCATCCAGTTACCTCATAGCTGAAAAACATCTCCATTGGCCAGTTAGAAAAATACCACTAGGATAAAAACCATGGTGAATTGTTCCAGGAAGTCCCAGGTAGTTTCTTAATCTGGAAAGAGTTTGGTGGTGGCAGCAGAAACTATCAATTCCATAGAGATCTCAGAAAATTAAAAGACTTTGCCTCATGTGTACATTAAGGGGATCACACTAAGTGACACCCCCACCTCCAAATTCTCATCCAATTCTAAAGCTGCATCACTGTCCAATCACAGTTGCCCAATTGACAGTCTGAGAGGCACAATTGTGGTTTCAGGAACAGGTTTTCCCCCTGTCAAAATGGCACAGGCTCCAGAGTTATGGGGACAATTCCCCTCTCCTGGGATTCATCAAACACTAGTAATTCTTACTTCATCTCAGTAGATTTCCACAGATTAATTCACCCTAAGCCTAAAGATATTATGGTGAAAACATGTTTATCTACAAGCTCCGAATACTATAGCTGGGTCCTTTTACAGTTGCAGCTTAGATGAATGTTTACGTGAAGATTGAAAACTCCACTTGAACCTTCTGAAGTCACCAGAGCATCACAGTTCCTGCAAGACCCTCCTTTGACTTCTTGTAGGAAAAAAAGTCTCTTTTTGTGGCCAATGATTTCACTCATAGCATTGCTGTGGCTCTTGCCTGCAGCTGTCCAGATGGACCTGAGGCCAAACTGCTTCTGGAGGAGACCTTTCCCAGAACAAAAAGACTATTACAGACCTGGAGATCTTACCATCGGTGGAAACCTGCCTCTCTCCTTTACTATAGTTCTACAGCTCCCACACGAGCCTCCTGGTGATTGGGATAGCCTTTCTCTGTAAGTGTTTCTTGATTGTCTTTTTTCTCGGGGCAATGTGGAAAGGGCAGTCTTGAACATGGGGCAGATTTAAATCCCACCCACCCTATGTTGATGTGGAGCCTTCCTATTTAGGACAAATTGATTCCCTTTGATCAATCAATCTCCCTCTAATCCCTTCTCAAGCCCTCTGACTCTTCAGTGGTGAAGAAAAGCTTGTCACACAAGGGAGTCAACTTTTTCTCCATGTTCCTGTAGGTAAGGTGCACTTTGTGTAGAAGACAATTTGGGCTGAACTTGGGGAGAAATAATGGAAGGGTCCTCTATCTTATTGCTGCATTGAATTCATCTTACCACCTCATTAGTCTGATGATTTGTAACACCATCCTTCATGCTTAAAAGTCTGTAGAGATTCTCAGTCATCCAGGTCAGGGTTGTCCCAAAGTGCTTTTTTCAGGAGGTAACTGGACTTTCTTGTTGTTGTTTTTTTCTTTCTTTAAGACATTTCATTTCTCATCCAAGAAGCTTCTTCAGCTCTGACAGGATACTGGGGAATGGAAGGGTTTATAGTCCTTTCAGACAGCTGGTCATCTGCATCCTTTTAGAGGGTCGTTGAAGTACTTGGAGGGTTTATCTGTGTCCTCAGGGTTACCTGAGCAGTGTTCCTGGTTCCTGTAGTCTTCAAGTGCTTCAACGACCCTCTAAAAGGATGCAAATGACCAGAAGAAGCTTCTTGGATGAGAAGCAAAACGTCTTCAAAAGAAAAAGAAGAAAGTCCAGTTGCCTCCTGAAAAAAAAGTACCTTTGGGATCCTTCATGCTTACATTACATTTCATGTAGTGAGGGTCTGTTTTTTGTCCCACCAAATCTGGCTTCCCACCAATCTCTTGTTAAATCTAGCACTTCTAGGTCAGAGGAGCAAGTTTCTTAGGAGAACCCCCAACAGAAAGAATTCCACCTTCAGAGACACTAAAATTGTTTTTTCTAACTTGAGATATATCCAGATATATTACCATCATAATTTCTAGCCAGGAAAATTCAACCTGATCAGACATTCAATTTAATTCAATATAATTTATTGGATTTAGAAAGTCACCTAATTCAAAAGGACTCCGAGAACATGATAGGGTGCCACATTGAGGGAAAGTGCTTGGGAACATCGGACAGAAGATGTCAGCTTTTAATATTTCCATGACTGGATATAATAAAATGTGCAGTTTTATCAAGAGAATAGAATAGAATAACAGAAGGGGCCTTGGAAGTCTTGGGCCCAGTACTCTTCAACATCTTCATCAATGACTTGGATGCGGTGATAAAGGGGAACTCATCAAATTTTCAGATGACACCAAGCTGGGAGGAATAGCCAAAACTCCGGAAGATAGGCTTAAGATTCAGAAGGATCTTGACAGACTTGAGCATTGGGCTGTATCTAACAAAATGAAATTCAACAGTGAGAAATGTAAGGCTCTACATTTAGGCAAGAAAAACAAAATGCACAAGGGACCAAGAGGATCAGCCACATTTCCTTAACTGGACTGAAAAGTTCATTTTGGAAAAAGTCAGTACTGACTTGAATTGAGCTCATGCTGTAAATTATAACTCACTTAAATGTCCTGCGGAGAGAGGGAGAAGAGGATTTGCCATACACTGTTGATAATAAGAACAGGATCAACTGATTGTTTTTTGTAACCCTGTTTTCTGACACCAGTAACATAAATCAACTAATTTGTATTGATCTGTTCTATGATTAACTCCTAGAATCCTGATAATGCTTTCTTAACAAAATAAACACCTCCTTCCTGCTCCTGTCTAATTCTTGTCCTCTAACACTTGCAACAAAGACCTGTTCCGAAGAACTACCAACACTTTCTGGCTTTGGCATTTGCCATCCAGGAGGTCAACAGAGACCCACATCTTCTCCCCAACATCACTCTGGGCTTCCGCATCTACGAAGAGAACCATTATTCAAGCATGTCTCCAGATGTCAGCCTGTCTCTGCTCTCCAGCCGGGGAAAATTATTTCCTAACTATAAGTGTGACACAGAGGACAACCTTCTCTCTGTCCTTGGAGGTCTCAGCTCCAGAACTTCATACCAGATGGCAACCGTATTTGGCAATTTCAAGGTTTCTCAGGTACTTGGACACGCAATATGATGAAAGGGGGAATGTGTGGTTATGGCCAACAACTAGCAGAGCTGATTCTGTGACCAGAAGAATAGAATAGAATAGAATAGAATAGAATAGAATAGAATAGAATAGAATAGAATAGAATAGAATAGAATAGAATAGAATAGAATAGAATAGAATAGAATAGAATAACAGAGTTGGAAGGGACCTTGGAGGTCTTCTAGTCCAACCACCTGCTTAGGCAGGAAACCCTGCACCACTTCAGACAAATGGTTATCTAATCTCCTCTTAAAAACTTCCAGTGTTAGAGCATTCACAACTTCTGGAGGCAAGTTGTTCCACTGATTAATTGTTCTAACTCTCAGGAAATTTCTCCTTAGTTCTAAGTTGCTTCTGTCCTTGATTGGTTTCCACCCATTGCTTCTTGTCCTGCTCTCAGGTGCTTTGGAGAATAGCTTGACTCCCACTTCTTTCTGGCAGCCTCTGAGATATCAGAACACAGCTTTCATTTCACCCCTAGTCCTTCTTTTCATAAAACAAGACATATCCAGTTCCAGCAACTGTTCTTTAATATCTTTTAGCCTCCAGTCCCCTAATCATCTTTGTTGCTCTTCTCTGCCCTCTTTCCAGAGTCTCCACATCTTTCTTACATCATGGGGACCAAAACTGGATGCAGTATTCTATGTGTGGCCCTACCAAGGAATAATAAAGTGGCATTAACACTTCATGTGATCTTGATTCTATCCCCCTGTTTATGCAGCCTAGAACTGTGTTGGCTTTTTTGGAAGCTGCAGCACACAGCTGGTTGATATTTAAGTGATTGTCCACTAGAACTCCAAGATCAATAGGATAACCTGCTAGTCTAGATGATCTGGGGTTCGTAACAAAAATTACAAGTATCATTTTCCTTGTTTAACTTCTTTTTCCTCCATCTCCACTCTCCCTTCAGCTAGGTTACCGCTTCTCTGACCCTGTTTTGAAGGATAAGACTCAGTTTCCCACTTTTTACCAGATCGATCCTCAGTATCACCTACAGAATGCAGCCATTGTCCAGCTCTTTCTATATTTCCAGTGGAACTGGATTGGGATCATTGTTCAGAAGTCAGAGAGCAGTGACCATTTCATCCGGATTTTTGAGGCCACCCTCGCCCAGAATGACATCTGCATACATTTTGTAAAACAGATCTTGCCCCAAATCTTAATATTCAATGAATTGAACAGCAGACAAATAGATGTGCTTTGGACAATTTTGAACAGTGATGCTCAGGTTGTGATTATCTCCGGGGTTTCAAGTGCTCTGCAAAGCCTTTTAATATCTCTCTCCTTTTATGAAGAAGAGAACCACACTTCTTCTGGGAAGGTTTGGATCCTGACCACCCAATGGGAATTTTCAGCTATTGGCTATCACTACGAGTGGGGGAAATTAAAATCCTTCCATGGTGCTTTGTCTTTCACGGTCCACACAAACCCAGTGCCAGGATTCAAAGATTACCTTTGGGCTCTAAATCCACATGAACCCCACGGAGACGTCTTTCTGCCCAGCTGGTGGGACATTGTATTTGACTGTGTGGTTTTGAAGGCAGGTCTGTCCTCACCTGATGGCCGAAGGATTTGCACAGGGGAGGAGAACCTGGACACCCTCCCGGCCTCCGTCTTTGATGGAAAGATGACTGGTTTCAGCTACAGCATCTACAATGCTGCCTATTCTGTGGCACATGCATTACATGCTGCATATACTTTGGAATCACAACGGACATTGAAGAAGGGCAGAAAGAAGCCACATCTTCACCTCTCTGTGAAGCCCTGGCAGGTAACTCTCCAGATCTTCCCTTCTGGTCAAGGAGACAGCTTTACACTCTTTTAAGGTTCATTCGCTTTTGCCTGTGATCTCCACTATCTTGTCCTTTCCTCCTTTATTTAAATCTTCTACAAATCTTGGAAATTTTATTTTAGCAATCATATCTGGAAGAGGGAAAAAAAGAATCTTATACTGTTTATCCCTAATTATGCCAATAGTTCAATCCACTATTAATCATTCAATCTTCATCTTGGACAGATTTTCAATAATTTTTCCTAGCAATTTATAAATTTGGATCCTAATACATACCTAGACCCTTAAATATCTTTATACATATCGATATACTTTATATCTTGAACAGGAGGTTGGACTCCAAAGTCCCTTCCAACACTCTTATCCAGAATAACAGAGTTGGAAGGGACCTTGGAGGTCTTCTAGTCCAACCCCCTGCTTAGGCAGGAAACCCTACACAACTTAAGAAAAATGGTTATCCAATACCTTCTTAAAAACTTCCAATGTTGGAGCATTCACAACTTCTGGAGGCAAGTTGTTCCATTGATTAATTTCCTAACTGTCAGGAAATTTCTCCTTAGTTCTAGGTTGAATCTCTCCTTCATCAGAATCTCTCCTTCATCAATTAATAGGATTCATACCCACTTTAGTCAATAAGATAAAATGTGTATTAAAGGCACTTTTAATTTCTGCTACATTTGTGGTGAGTACATGCTTAAGCCTCAAAGACAAGCCTGGACTGGTCTTGTTAAGAAAGCATCTGAACTGAAATAGTCAATGTAAATAAACAAACAGAAAAATAAACATACTGTACTTTGATTGTAAGATTGGTGATCAAGACAAGGGTTAGGGGTTTGGGTTAGGGGCAATAAAAACCATTCTGTACCTATGAAGGGCATCAATGCCACTTGCCAAAAATTGGAGTGACATGCAATATCAGTGCATCTCATTCATTACTTCAGTTAACCAACTTTTTTTTTTTTTTTTTTTTTTTGCAGAGAAGTCATTTGGAACCAGAGTTTGACTCATTTATATTTCCAATCACCTAGTTTTCCTTGGGAATAATTTGTAATTTCAGTTCTTGAAGCTGAATATCTATCAGCTGCAGAAATAGAACTTTGCCTCCATCTACAGCTTAGTTGTAACTTTGATATAAAGTCTCTTCACTTTCATGGACTTTGTTTGTTTGATTGTTTTGCCATGCCAGATGCACGCTTTCGTGAGAAAGGTCCTTTTCAACAACACCGCTGGGGAGGAAGTCTCCTTTTCAGAAACTGGGATGAAATATGCAGGATTTGATATCCTCAACTGGGTCGTCTTTGCAAATATGACGACTCTTCGACAGAAAGTTGGATGGGCCAATCCGGAGGCTCCTTCAGCTGAAGGTTTCAGCATCAACCCTGACGCCATTGTGTGGGCCAACCAGGTGGGGAGTAGATGTTGTTTCCAGGGTGATGGAAGGCTGAGAGGAAGGACCAGGTTGTTGTGACGCAAATTCTATTCAGGGGAAGGAAGAGGAGGGGCTGCTTTTATGTAGACCCCAAAGCCTTTTATGCAGACCCCAAAGCCAATCTGAAGATTTCTAAACTCTCCATCTCAAAGCTAATCTCACTCTCCTTTCAGACAAAGCCTTTCTCCCGATGTGTGAAGAGCTGCCTTCCAGGACAAGCCAGGAAAGTTGCAGAGGGGAAGCGTTCTTGTTGCTACGGATGTATTCCTTGCCCAGAAGGGACCATTTCTAATCAAACAGGCAAGTTGCATGAGGAGACCCTCAAGCAGGAATGAGGAGGTCTGGTGTGGCTGCCTGGGGAGGAGTGAGAGACAATATGAGGTGGCAAATCAGTTGAGCAAATCAACATGAAAGTCATTCAAAACTTTTAAGTTGAATAGATCCTTTAAGTTGTTAGCAGCAGTTTTTAGCTTTTATGTACTGTTTATATGTTTTAATATTTTATTAATTGTGGGCCAAATTAATTTAATTGGATTTTAATACTGTTTTTAAATTTTGTATTTCTTGTGTTTTATCTTGGCTGTTCACCGCCCCACATCCTTCAGGAGAAGGGCAGTATATAAATATAAACAAATAAATAAATAAATAAAATAAATATTGAGCACCGCCCAGAGTCCCTCGATATGGAAGATGGGAATTTCAAAATGTAATAATAAAATAAAACAATTCAATTAATTCATTATATAATTACTCCTGAGAAGTTTTTAGCTGCTGATTCCACTGGATCCTTCTGTGTTGTGTGCAGCAGAAGTAAAGAGATGGGGAGCACGGGGCATTTCAGTTCTTTCATTGGGAAAACTGTTCCCCTCAAGGATAATCCCTGGTTCTCTGTCTAATATCAGCTGGCGCCTATTCTTCCAGATGCGGCTCAGTGCAGCCCCTGCCCAGAAGACCAACACCCAAACAAGAACCACGTCCTGTGCATTCCCAAGACCATAAACTTTCTCTCCTATGAGGATACACTCGGCTTCGTTTTAGTTTCCCTAGCTCTTTTCTTCTCTTTGATCACAATCCTCGTGTTGGCAGCCTTCATCAAACACTGCAACACACCCATCGTCAAGGCCAACAACCGCAACCTCACCTACCTTCTCCTGGTCTCCCTCCTGCTCTGCTTCCTCTGCTCCTTCCTCTTCATTGGGCGGCCAAGGAACCTCACCTGTCTCCTCCGACAAACCACTTTCGGCATCGTCTTCTCCACTGCCATTTCATCCGTGTTGGCAAAAACTCTGACTGTAGTTCTGGCCTTCATGGCTACTAAGCCAGGAAACAGGGCAAGAAAACTCTTGGGGAAGCAGCTGGTGTTAGTCCTGGCCTGTCCCCTCGTGCAAACAGCTCTTTGTGCCTCCTGGCTGGCAATCTGCCCCCCATTTACTAATTTGGACTTTCATTCTGTGAAGGGAGAAATTGTGCTGGAATGCAATGAAGGTTCAACCACCATGTTTTATTCTGTTCTGAGCTACATGGGTTTCCTGAGTCTCATCAGCTTCCTAGTGGCTTTTCTGGCCAGGAAACTACCAGACAGTTTTAATGAAGCCAAATTCATTACTTTTAGCATGCTGGTCTTTTGCAGTGTCTGGGTCTCCTTTCTCCCCAGCTATCTGAGCACCAAAGGGAAGTCCATGGTGGCTGTGGAGATCTTCTCCATCTTGGCCTCTGCGGCTGGTCTACTGAATTGTATCTTTCTCCCCAAATGCTACGTTATAGTGCTGAGGCCCGATCTGAACAATAGAAGTCACCTCATGAGGAAAATTAAGTAGGAAAGCAAGAAAACATATAGTCACATCTGTGCAGGTTAATATAGAGGTTTCCACTCCAACTATTGTCATAGTTCCGAGTAATGAACTCCGGGAAGTCAGGACTCTGACACATTGTTCAGGTTCAAAAATCCTTTAATGAGTACATCAGATTGGCACTTAGAAAGGTGAAACTAGCTCTAAATTATTTCCCCACCCCCTAGGTCTCTCAGGTCACAAGGGCCAACCAGTCCAGTCGTAGGTTCCCACCCGGCTTTGACAGGTGTCCATTGACATGACTATGGTTCACACGCCTGCTGGTAGATGTTATGACTTGCCTTGCTGAGGCACCACATTCCTAAGGTTCCCCCCCTGCCCCCCCCGAATGGCAACCAAGAAACCAAGCAGAAGTAAGCATGGCTTCAGTTTAAGTCATTTTGCAGGTTGACAACTATGTCCACACACAACAAGCACATACTCATTTTGACAGCATATGTTGACAGCACATGGAGTCTTGGGGCATTGCAGAATTCTCTACTAATTTTTTCATTCAAGTATTTCTCATTGTATATTTTCAATGCAAAACATTAAATTGCATAGAGTGTTCTCTTCATTATGACTAGATAAACATGCTTCGTTAATGAACAAGACCATGTGAAGTGGATATTAAGGGATCCGTTATATTTTTATGCTCTCGGATTATCATTGGGATGGATTGATGGGATGTTAATTAATAGTATAGTTAAATATTTGTTTGATCTTGGGCAGAGAGGAAGGAAGACAGTTGTGTGATAGTCTTAGATGTTTCCTGAATATACAAAAATGCTTTGGGGTAGAGAGAGAGAGGGAGAGAGAGCTGACCCCAAAGCACCCCACATAGCAGAACTGCCTGGGCTGACCTCTCACCTTCAAGCAACACTGACTGAAACTGTCCTTGAGTGGAACCAGAGCACAGCCAGGTCTCCAATCTTGAACCTAGCTAGGTGGTCCAGCTGGATGCCCTGCTTGATGGCATCAAGACCACATGGATGATGATGAGGAGGAGGAGGAGGAGGTACAATGGGGCCTCTATCATCTATCTGGGACACTGCAAATGCAGGATTTGTCTCATAGGGTGATGGTTCGGTATTATGCTTTTGACTCAAGGAAAGGTAACCCTGGTTCAATCCTGGTTCAAACCACAAAGGATGTGGACTGAAAAATGGTGTAGAGCAGAATGGTGCACCTGAGAGAAGCTCTGGATCGCGTCCTCAGGAAATCCTCCATCAGGCAGAATGATTGGTCTTGAAATACTTTTAAAATATTAATGACACACTTGAGTGACAGGGAGATTGGGCAGAATGCATCTAAATTGTAAAGAAAAGAAGAAAGTTTGTGATTATTAAAAACCATCCAGATACTTTATAGCTGAAAAACATCTCCATTGGCCAGTGAGGGAAGCAACAGTAAGATAAAGGCCATGTTGAGTTATTCCAGGAAGTCCCAGGGAGTTTCTTTATCTGGAAAGAGTTTGGTGGTAGCTGCAGAGATAGTCAATTCCAAAGAGATCTCAGAGATTTAAAAGTATTTGCATCATGTGTGTCGTACATTAAGGGGATCGGACAAATTCTCATCCAATTCTAAAGCTCCATCACTGTCCAAATACAGTTGCCCAATTGACAGACTGAGAGGCACAACTATAGTTTCAGAAATAGGTTTTCATCCTTTCAAAATGACAAAATTACTCTAGTGTGATGGGGATAATGTGGACATTTCCCTCTCCTGGGATTCATCAAACACGAGTAATTCTAATTTTGTCTCAGTGGATTTCCACAGATTAATTCACCCTAAACCTAAAGATATTATGGTGAAAACATGTTTATCTCCAAGCTCCGAATACTATAGCTGGGTCCTATTACAGTTGGAGCTTAGATGAATGTTTACGTGAAGATTGAAAACTCCACTTGAACCTTCTGAAGTCACCAGAGCATCACAGTTCCTGCAAGACCCTCCTTTGACTTCCTGTAGGAGAAAAAGTCTCTTTTTGTGGCCAATGATTTCACTCTTAGCATTGCTATGGCTCTTGCCTGCAAAGGTCCAGATGGACCTGAGGCCGAATTGCTTCTGGAGGAGACCTTTCCCAGAACAAAAGGACTATTACAAACCTGGAGATCTTACCATCGGTGGAAACCTGCCTCTCTCCCTTAATGTAGTTATACAGCTCCCAGATGAGTCACCCGGTGATTGGGATAGCCTTTCTGTGTAAGTGTTTCCTTGATTGTCTTTTTTCTTGGGGCAATGTGGAAAGGGCAGTTTTGAAGAGGGGGCAGATTTAAATCCCACCCAGCCTCTGTTGGTGTGGAGCCTTCCTATTTAGGACAAATTGATTCCCTTTGATCAATCAATCTCCCTCTAATCCCTTCTCAAGCCCTCTGACACTTCAGTGGTGAAGATTAGTTTCTCACATGGGATAGGGAGTCAACTTTTTCTCCATGTTCCTGTAGATCAGGTGCACATTGTGTAGAACAGTGGTCCCCAACCCCCGGTCCACGGACCGGTGCCGGGCCGTGGATACCTGGCACCGGGCCGCGCAGCGGCCGGGGGACATGAACGCTGCAGCGCAAAGGCTCCTGGGCCGTGCGCAAAAGCTCCTGGGCCGTGCGCAATGGGCCGTGCGCAAAAGCTCCTGGGCCGTGCCCCCACCCCTGCGCGCGCTCAGCGGGCCGCGGCGATAAAAAGGTTGGGGACCACTGGTGTAGAAGACAATCTGGGCTGAACTTGGGGAGAAATAATGTTAGAGTCCTCTATCTTATTGCTGCATTGAATTCATCTTCCCATCCCATTAATCTGATGATTTGTAACACCATCCTTCATGCTTAAACATCTGTAGAGATTCTCAGTCATCCAGGTCAGAGCGCTCTCAAAGGTGCTTTTTTTCAGGAGACAACTGGACTTTCTTTGTTTTTTGTTTTGAAGACGTTTCGCTTCTCATCCAAGAAGCTTCTTCAGCTCTGACAGAATGATAGGGAATGGAAGGATTTATATCCCTTGCAGACAGCTGTTCATCTGCATCCTTTCAGAGAGTCGTTGAAGTACTTGGAGGGTTTATCTGTGTCCTCAGGGTCACCTCAGCAGTGCTCCTGGTTCCTGGAGTCTACAATTCTTTCTAAGTGCTCCAACGATCCTCTAAATAACCAGCTGTCTTCAAGGAGTATAAATCCTTCCATTCCCCACTATCCTGTCAGAGCTGAAGAGGCTTCTTGGATGAGAAGTGAAATGTCTTCAAAAGAAAAAGAAGAAAGTCCAGTTGCCTCCTGAAAAAAAGCACCTTTGGGATCCTTCATGCTTACATTACATTTCACGTAGTCAGGGTCTGTCTTTTGTCCCACCAATCTCTTGTTAAATCTAGCACTTCTAGGTCAGAGGAGTGAGTTTCTTTGGAGAACTCCAAACATAAAGAGTTCCACCTTCAGAGACACTAAAACTGTTTTTTTTTCTAACTTTTTTTTTTATTGAAAAAGTTTTCAAATACAAATTTCCCCCCCTTTTTTTCCCCCTCCCCCTCCCCCTCCCCCTCCCTAACCCCCCTCCCCACCCATCCCCCCCTGTGACTTCTTCATAACAAAAAAAAACCTAATTCCTAACAGATTACTTACTCCCTCCTCTAGATATTGACCTTTACTTACTAAAAATATTATTAATATTATAACATCCCCCTTTATCCATACATATCAAAAAAGAGAAAAGAAAGGGGGAAAAAAAGACATTATACTATGACATTATAGAATAACTTCTCCACTTTAAAACTATACGATAAGTCCTACTTTAACATTTAATCTTCTATATATATTACTATAACATTTCAAAGCGGCCTTCCCCATAAAATCTAGTTTAACATTTATTCCACTCTATCCATTTCCTCCACTCCCCTAAATATAACACTTAAAAATCCCTTTTCTTAGATTAATCAATCTACTAACTAGCTTATTCACCCACTATCATGCAAAATTGCCATACACAACATTTCTTAACATCTTTGATTCACTGCCCACACTACTTAAAAATATATGTCTATATTTTCCATTATATCTAAATAAAAAAAAAGAAAAGACAATGACTTTAAATTTATAATCCATATAGTATCTTCTTTGAGGTCTTTCCACTGGATTGGTAGAACCAACATCCATAATCGGGTAACATAGCTTACTGGTGCAACAGTTTATTCAGGATCTTCAATCATATCTGCCCCCATCAGTAGTAAATATCTTCTTATATGTATAAAAGTAAAAACAACCACCCGAGTGACATTATAATTATATTCCATATAGTAATAATTGTGGGTTTCATCAGGATTATTAATTCCCATCATCGTAGTGGGTAACAACCCGATCTTCTGCATGCCCCAGCATAATTCTCTTGCCTTGTGATTCAAGATAATATAATATGTTTATCAACACAAAAAGAAATTCCAAAATGGATAATTCAAATCCATCAGTTTAAGGTTCATTTCACGTCCCCAGATTACGGCCATGCAGAGATCTGCCACAAACCTCAGGATGATATTAACCAATACGTCGCCTCTTCTGTGTTTACACATAATCGTTCATATTTTAAAATCACTGGCTTCACTGTTGCCTGATTTAGAAATTTCTATTTCTATGCCACCTATTTCTTTTTTTCTTTTCTTTTTGTGGGTTCGGTTTCCATCCTGGTTCCCTTTCTACAAAATATGTATCATCTGGTCGGTTTTTATTCTGCTTTGTAGATTGGTCTTGTTGGTTTTGCTTTTGTATCTCATATTTCTTTTTTATCCCTTGTATATCCCCTAATTGGTTTCCATGTTTATCCTTGCCTTGATAAGTCATCACATTAAGATTAGATGCCTCTTCTCTCAAATTTGTAGATAGTCCAGCTGGGGTATCCAATAAATCCAAAGGCAATTCATCTGGTACAGTCTCTGTAATTCGATATTTTACCTTTATTTCCGGCTCCTTCTGCTTATCCTGTATTATACCTGGAGATGTTAAGTTCATTTTCAACCTATTTTGATAAAATTCTTCCGCTCTTTCAACAGTATTTAGCTGATATCTTTCTCCTTGGTATCTAAATATAATACCAACTGGGGCGTCCCACCTGTAGGAGATATTTCTCTTTTTTAACTCATTCACCAGAAAACCAAATTTCT